TATATTGAACCGCGGTGGACGAAGTGGAAGCGAGAATGTCGGCACAGCTATTTCCCAGCCTAATAACCAGACCATGACAAGTTCTGTTAGGTAAACTTTCAAAATGAAAGGAAATGTTTATCGAGAGCGATTTCCCTTGAGCAAGAGGAATAATCCAACCTGTTTTATCACTAGTACCCAATTATTTTGATCAATTATAATCCTATCCTTTTTTATTTGTGGCTCAGTTTTTTATTGTTTGGGGTTTTGAAAACTACGTACAGTGAAACAATCTTTAAGCTGGACTTGAATATATGTTGAAGACAAATTTAATAGTGCCTGTGCTGGGCCTGGGAACAAACATAATGACGTGTCTTTCAAGCATTCTTGACCTCCTTCTCATATTTCATATCCCTAACTTAATTCCTTCCAAATATCAAGCGGAATTTTTTTTTTAATGCATAATATATAGTACAATAGTATGGTCATGTGTTATAACTTTTTTACATGTAATAATTGAAGTGAATATTTATTGATATTATTCCGTATTTTACTACCATTCTATAATATTTCCCTTTTGTGTTTTTAACGAATTATTTTTGCGTATGTGTCAAACTATGATTTATAAAAACGAACACAAGCCACTCTTTGACATTATTTAAAACTTGGTATAGATTCATGTAAACGGATATAAGAAAAAAAGAAAGAAGTGGAATTAGAGATACTTATATACATCAATACATGTATAATGTAGGTAGTTGATATTAATCATGGAAGAAACCATGCATTAATTAATGAAGGGAGAAAACCCAGCAATGGTGGGACTAGGATCGTTTTCAGATAAGGAGATGAACAATGTCATGTACGAAAATCACGTGGGATGCAGTGGTGTTATGTCTACTTGGTGGGCCTTTCTTGTCCTCAACAGCAACGTACACTAGACATGATCTGTTAGGTTATGCCAATCAAGGCTTCATTAAGATTGATTGAGAGATATTACTGCTCAGAATAACACAAGCAAATTTACAAATGGTACTCTCCAAATGTTAACATTTTTTGATTGGATAGAATATAAAGCTATTTTTGAAAAGCCTAAATATGTGTAAACATTTTATCCCTTTTAAACTTTTAATGTTAGATATATTAGTTACTTTAGCCTAGAACCTTCTGCTTGTCAAATCGGCTTCCCTTTGGATCCTTTGTTACATTTCTATTTCCTCTGTCTAGGATGTATATGGAGTGCGATCATTCCACGTAGAGCTGTAAAACTCTAATTCAGATAATGCGCATAGCTAGGAAAAGCTAGTGTTGTCAAATGTTGATGTTAGAAAATGGATTCAACTTAGAAGTGAGCTTGCCTTTGGTTGAGTGCGTCCTGCAGCAGGTGTAGAAGGGATCTGCAAGACGAGCAAAGGTGAAGACTTTAGGCACCATTGTGGTACTGGCCGAAGGCTCTCGAATGCGTAAGTTATCTTAAGGTCCGAGTGTGTAACATAATTGGACATAATAAGGGTACTAATACCGAATTACTATTACTTGGTGCTTTGGGGCGAGAGCCCTATTTATAGAGGAAAGAAGTGGAGCACTTTGGGTCATTACTTCGATGTGGGACTGTTGGCGTCACAAAAGGGGCTGCTACATGTCCCTAAATGGAAGTGGTACGGCAGGTACCTTCGTTCGACCGGATCAACATGTGAGATTTCCAAAGGCTAATCCTTATCGATGGTCTTTATGAGGCCTGGTGGTTGGGCTAGGACATATAGGCCTTTAATTTGGATCATATGTCCTATGTGTCCTAGTTGAGAGGGTCTGGTCAGATATGGCATAAACATGAAAATATACAACAACGTGAAACAGATTAATTCCAAACCAATTTTACTAACTCACAAGGTACAAATCTATTGCAATTCAGAAAGTAAGAACGAGGTCATACCCATACAGGTTGATTTTCAAATAACTTAGGGCCCATTTGGTATTCTACTTGGATCCAATTTTATAAACTCAAAAACAAATTTTAAGTCCAAAACTCAAAAAATCCCCCATTTTTAAAAACTAAAAAACACCCCCACTATTGAAAACAAAAAAGTGAGGTTTACAATTTTTTCTCTCTCTCGTCTGTCTCTCTCGCCTTTCTCTCCTCCCTTTCCCGTCTCTTTCTCTCACCTCCCTATCCCCCCCCCTCTCTCTCTCTCTCTCTCTCTCTCTCCTTTTCTTTTGTTAATTTCAATTTTGAAATTAGGGTTTCTAATTTTAATTTCAATTTGGAAATTAGGGTTTCTTATTTTAATTTCAGTTTTTTTAGATCTTAAAAATAATTTGGAATTCAATACCAAATAAGTTTTTAGATTCTAAAATCAGTCTTTAAAAACCATATTTTAAAAAAACATGATTTTTGAGTTCATTTTTTTAGTAAAATACCAAATGGACCCTTAATTCTAACTAACTTAGATTGAAGAATGATTTTGAGATCTAATAACCTAAAAGTCACAAAAATAGGTAAACAAGAAAACAAGCCAGTTGGAACGGTTCTATCGCAGTGAATGGTTGTGAAATGTGTAGCAAAACAATTTTTTTGCATACCAAGAAGGCAATTTCATAAATTAAAGATTTAACAACATATGATTAAACACTCCTGTTTGTTAACCATTTCAAATTTTAATTTTCAATTTTTAGTTTTCATTTAAAAAAAACAGAAAATAGGAAACTTGTTTGGTAACCAAATTTGAGTTTTCAAAAAAATCAAAAACTGTTTAAAAATTGTTTTGGTAACTAATTTCGGTTCGTGGAACTTGCAAATGAAATTTTTTTGGGGATCAAATTATGACTTTAAGGTCATAGAATAAAAGTGCATGTTAGTAGTATTTTTTGGTGAATTTTTTGGAGTTAGGATTAATTTTTGGTGAATTGAAAAGCAGGAGATTCCGAGTCTCAAACTAGGTGAGCGCCCAAATGCAAGAGTCGAGCTGCCTGGTCCAAGTCGGGAGGTCCCAAATAACAAGTTTTGACAACTGGAGTGCATTGTATGTGTGGTGATGTAAAATTGGTGAATGATAAAGGAGGACAAATAAATGAAAACGAAAATTGAAAATTAAAAACACTTTCAAGTTGTTTTCAAAACTAAGGATCCTTATGAATGTGAAGTAAGTAAATATTTATGTTTATCATAGAGCTTCTATTTATAGATAAATTATACTTTTATCAGGTAATTTTGATAATTATTTTAAAAAAAACATATATATTTGATATAACAACGCGCATTGCTTGTTGTCAAAACATAAACAACAACGAGCACAGACATGTTGTCATAATATTATAAGACGACACGCTCGGCACGTTGTTGTCAATCGCTCCTACAACGTGCGCGTGTTGTGGTTAATGTTGTTCACAACGAGCGCCAAAATAAACGACGACGTTCAACGCGTGTTGTCGAAAGCCCTACACCTTTTAACGACATCGGCTTCAACAACGTGCGCCGCATGTTGTCAATATGTTTTCACAACGCACATTGCGCGTTGTGAAAGGACTTTTTTCTTGTAGTGGGATGATTTTGAAAACTAGTTTTTTTAAAAAGTGAAAATGAAATGGTTATCAAACGGACCCTTAAACGCATCTGAATCCACCACTAATACTATTACTCTTGACCAAATAAAAAACAAAAAATACTCTTACTCAAATTCTCAATAGCAAGTTAACAAATTTACAGATAATTGTTGACGGTTTTCACACACATGACCTTGGTCGAGTACATATGCCACAAGTTCTTCTAAGTATGAAATCTACCCTTTGTTCCGATAGGTTCAAATATTTCTACATACAAACCACAATATATTTGGGTATGCATCATGAATTCACAACTCTTACATCCAAAGAAGCATTCTAAATATGCAATATGATCAATCACATAATTGCGCATCAAATAGACTATAGATTTAAAACACTAATGGTGATCAAGCAAGAGAATTTCAAAACAATCACCAATTAAAACAATGATATTAAGACTTCAACAATAAAATTAGGAATGCATATAACTTAAACAATTAAAAATATAGAGTAATCATAATTAGGGCTTCATCCTACCCCCCCACAGCCACCCTAAAATTCACCAAAATATCAGTAAATTAAGGGACCAAAGTGAAACTGGATACACATTTAGGGACCATTAGCCTAATAAATCATTTTTTTTTTGTTTAAGATGAGAACTGAAGTTACTAATGACTCTTGAAATCAACAAATTTTTTGACAGAACGGTAAGAAAGAAAGTGAAACATGAGTAAAAATATTAGGGCTATAGAATTTAATAACAGAAAGAATATACCAAAGTGAAACACATGTACAAATTGAGGGATCATTACCGTAATTAACCCAAACTCTAAATCATTTATTTGCGAATTACCCTCTAGTTCGTGCTGTTTGGAGTTGTGTGCAGTCTACTCCTCCTCCATCTAGTGACCTAGTGCATTGGTTACAAAACTCTGTCCTAAATATTCAAATTGGTGGTGACAGTGAGCTTCTTCTAATCAAGTTGCTTCTCATTTGCTGGCAAGTTTGGGAGTTTAGGAATCAGAAGATTTTCAACCAAGAAAACCCTCATCGTGTTGGAGTGATACACAAGGTTGCTTCTATAGGAGCTAGTTTCTGGGAAGCTAGCGTCATTTTCACAAACCAGTTGCCCCCACCTCCAACCATCAAATGGAATCCTGCTGCTCCTAGCTATCTGAAGATCAACTTTTATGGCTCGGTTCGTTTCGATGGAAACTGTTCGGCGGGTTATGTTATGAGGGATTCAAATGGTTCCCCGCTATATGCTAGCACTCGTTCTTGTGGTATATATGTGCTTATTGCTGAAGGTCATGCTCTTTTGGACGGGATAATAATTGTGACATTGCTCTGTGCCTTGGAGACTTACAACCATAGTGGACAATAGCAAAGCACGGATTCCTCATTTCAAAATCAATGTGAACAAAGCATTTGAATTCTTTCAATTATCAATGTTAACAAAGCATGGATTTCTCATTTCAAAATCAATGAAATGTAATATTACATTGCTCATTCATATATGGATTAGAATGCTTCCCAGCTACAAAAGCTATTAGCTTGTTTCTCACTTCTATCCAACTCCAACCAGGCATTTTCTTCATCCCTTGATCAACCATCATCTTTGTGGGAGCGATTTTCGTCCCACAAGAATATTCGCCTAAGGATTCCTTTTTCCTCTTCACTTCTCTTTCTCCCTGCAAAACAAATCGGAGTAAAAAGACTACACCCGGGGAGTGTTGCCAAAGGTCCTCTGATGCTAAAGTTAGTTCGATTGATTAGTAAAGAAACAATAGTTAAAAAGGGTACGAAGCTCTCGTGGAGAGAACCAGGTGGCCGGAGCCGTATGTGGTGGCCGGAGCCTTGTGTGAGAGAGAGAAAGAGTTATGGTGGCTAGGGTTTGTGAGACAGAATTTCTGCAGAGTTTTAGATAGAAGTTTAGATGTACCTCAACCCTTGGTGTAGCCATGTATTTATAAGAGCCTCAGAGGCTAGGGTTTCAGAAAAATAATTCCACAAATGGAAAGGAATTATTCTTCCCCAATTTGGAGAGATTGATGTAGTTAGGAATTTGATTTAAATCAAATCCTAATTAAGGCAAGAAGCAAATAATTCTCAATTAGATCAAATAACTCTCAATTAGGTCAAATAATTCCCAAATTGATTGGCTTAATTATTTGACCTAGGATCTGAGATATTTGCTTCCACATCAGCTTCTGCATGGCACGTGGTGGCTAGGAGGAGGTGTGAATTAACTATTGGGCTGTCCAGCTGTAACTGGACTTCCTTCTGTGACTTGGGCTCCTGAGTGGAGGAGGTCTTTGACTTGCTAATCTTTTGATAGTATGAGTCAAGGCGATCATGTGTGGCACACGAACGTGCTGGAAGTTATCGGCAGATGGGAAGGGGAGGTCGGCGACGGTTCGCTTGTTCCTCTCACCTGTTGTGATGGTAAGTTATACTCCTTTGATCTGCCATAGTCTTTCTGAAATTTTTGTGTGTATCTGACTGACTTCCGTCATCTGCTTGCAGAGAATGACATCTGCAAGAAGCTCGATCTCGGCTCGGACATGACCAAGGCTCAGCATGCTCTGAACATCCCTATCAGGTTCCGTGAATGGCGTTGGTTGTTGAACGAACATCGGAAGGAGGTTGGTGCTCTGCCCTCTGCCGAAGATGTTGGAAGATAGAAGCTGTATGGCTGGAACCTAGATGGTCTGCTAGTTGAGCAGGAGGAGTCCTCGACCGAACTTCCTCCTTCTCCCACAAGCAAGTCTTCATCAAGGGGGGTCTCGTGTGCTGAGAAGATCCCCATGGGAGTTGCTCCTTCTTCATCTGCCGGGATCAAGCACCTCATCAGCGTGAACAACAAAAAGGTCAATGGCATGCAGGAGGTTTGGGATATTCTACTCAAGTCTCCACCCGAACTGCCCAAAACCCATGATCTGCCTTGTAAAGAGGTCGCTGAGAAGCAAGGTTTGGGTCATTTGGGCCGATTCGGGGATTAAATTGAGAAGACTGTACCTCTAGCTAGCAACCATGACTCGTCTGCGAGGCCACAAGCAGTCAAGCACGGGGCTGACTCAATGTTGCAAGTTGTGGCCAAGAGTGCTAAAGAGTCGTCTGCTCGAGCAAAGAGTCCTTTAGTTGCACGAACTGTTGGTCCAGGAGTTGGTGATAGCACTGCTGGGGGTGAGCCTGTGTCTGATCTTCTCAAAATGGGATTTTTGTCAAGTCCATCTGCTTGTGCTAAGCTGGCTGACCACGTGTATCAAGCTGGCGACCTTGGCACTTTCTTGAGCCTTTCCTTCGATAAGCAAGAAGAAACTTCCATGTATCATATTCAAAAGGGGATGATTTTTGCTGTTGGGGCCATGCGGAACTCGCATGCTGTTGCTCCCTCTTCTTCCATGCTTGAAGAGCTGGTGAAGAAGAATGATGATCTGACTGACAAGCTCTCGAATGAGCGGATTCACCATGAGGCGAGGATTTCCGAGATGAAGGAGAGTATGTCTGCACTCAAGAGTTTTGTTGGCCAAAAAGATGGTGAGCTCAAGTCTCTCATGGCTACTCTGCTCAAACGCAAGGAAGCCTACTTTCACCTCGAACGTAAGCATGCTGCTCTGGCCCAGTATCGTGACAAGCTGCTAGTCAAGTTTGACACCCATTTGGAAGCCACGGAGGCGTCCAAGCATGAGATTGCTGCTAACATGTACATGATGGGATACTTGGATTGCTGGAATGGTGCTTCTCCTTGTTGTCCTCTCGAAGATGATGATGATGAGCAGCTCTGTCTTGACCTGCCCCTGCTCACAGTGAGCAAATCAATGTTGTGGACATAGAAGCAGTTGAAGAGCAGGTAGCAGATGAAGCTGCAACGGAGGAAGACAATGCCCAAGGTGGCGCAGCTGATGAGGTTAGGGTAGATGTGGAGGAGGAGGCAGTTGGGGCTACTGAGCAGATGGTGCCGGTTGAGTAGAATAAGGCTGTTGTTAGCGTAGTTGATCAGGAGGCAGCTGAGGATGTGATCAGTTAAGGGTCATCTGCCGAAGTCCCCTAGTAGATGTAGTTCATTTTTATTATTTTTGAAATTTTTTATTTTTTATTTCAATAAAAGGTCTTTAGTCGACCACCTTATTTCTTGTTAAACTTGGCTGTTTGGCCGCTTTACTATGGATTTTTAGTTGTCTTTCAAACTTCAATTTACATGATATCTTGTGAGTGGATGTCTGGAGATATAGCGCTCGAAAAAGGCTCCATTGAGTTTGTACTCGAGAAGTAGCTTGCCTACAATGGAGGTAAGGCTTGTCGCCTGCTGGCGTATGTCGGGGACATAATGCTCGAAAAAGACTCCATGAAATTTGTACTCAGAAAGTAGCTTGTCTTCAGTGGAGGTAAGGCTTGTCGCTTGCGGGCGTATGTCGGAGAAATAGCGCTCGAAAAAGGCTTTATTGAGTTTGTACTCGAGGAGTAGCTTTCTTGTAATTGAGGTAAGGCTTGTCGCCTACGAGCGTATGTCGGGGACATAGGACTCGAAAAAGACTCTGTGAAGTTTGTACTCGGGAAGTAGCTTGCCTTCAATGGAGATAAGGCTGGTCGCCTGCATGTGTATGTTTGTGGGACATAATGCTTGAAAAAAATACTTCATTGAAAAGCTTGCTCTTGTATTGATATTGGTGTGACTACGTCGCTTTATTGAATAAAATAAATGAACAACATAGATAACATCAAATGCAGTTTGTCTTCAATGGGAGTAAGGGAGGCTCATCGCCTGCTAAGAGCCCAACTGGTAAGCGAAGAGCTTCATGGATAGTACCTCCAAAGGAGGTGGGCATTCCATTGTCTCAGAATTTCTTTCCCTTCTAGAGTGTCGAGGGTGTAACTTCCTCTGCCCCCAGGTCGGCTGATCACGTAGGGGCCTTCCCAGTTGGGCTTCATTTTCTTCGACCCTTGCCTTGGTGCTATGATGAAAGTTTTTCTGAGCACAAGGTCCCCAGGTTGAAATTATCTTATCTTGGCCTTCTTATTGTAGTAGGACATCAGCTGCTGCTGGTAGGCTTCAACTTGAACAATGGTATTTTCTTGTTCTTCTTCGAGCAAATCAAGGTTGACTTTCATCTGCTTGCAATTTTGATTAAGACTGCCCACCTCAATGCTCATGGAAGGGACTGTGATGTGTGGGGGGATGATTGCTTTTGTTCCATAAGCCAGAGAAAATGGTGTCTCGCCGGTTGATCTCCTTTTGGTTGTGCGATAAGCCCATAGGACTTCTGCGCCTTCTAGTATTTTCTTCAGGCAATCCAGCATGATGTTGTTGGATGCCTCTGCTTGGCCATTGCCTTGCGGGTATATGGGAGTTGACATGTGTTGTTTGATGCCATACTTCGCAAGGAATGCGGTGATCTGCCTACCCACAAACTATGTACCATTGTCAATGACTATCGACTGTGGGCAATTGAATCGGCAGATGATGTTCTTCCAGAAAAACCGTTTGACGTCAGCTTCCTTGGCAGAGGATAAAGCCTCGGGCTCGATCCATTTGGTGAAGTAATCAGTGGCGACGATCATCATCTCCTTCTTGGCAGGTGCCGTTAGCATAGGTCCCACTAAGTCAACGACCCACTTCATGAATGGCCATGGACTATTCTACAGATAGTATTCCTCAGCTGGCAGGCTAGGGTTTGACTTATAGCGTTGGCAGCAATCACATCTTCGAGGAGCCTGGTAGGCCAGAAATAGCCTATGTTGAGAGCCGTCTTGGCAAGCGATCTGCCCCAAGCATAATTTCCACATTCGCCGTCGTGTATTTTTTAGAGAACCTCGAGCGTTTGCGAGTACTTGATGCAAGTAAGGTGAGGGCCAGAGTATGATTTGCGAACAAGCATGTCACCTTCCATGTTTAATTTTCCTAGCCTCGGACTTGTCCTCGGGTAAATTTTCGTTAATGAGATAGTCAATGATGGGGTCTTGCCAACTAGGGTCCTCGTCGATCTGCATCAAGTCTGGCTGCTCTGCCTCTTCTATGCTTGGCTAGTCAAGGTGTTCGACCGAGATGGAGCATCCGAGCTGGGTATCCAGCGTTGATCCTAAGCTTGCCAATGCATCTGCATGTGCGTTCTCTGCTCGGGGCACTTGTTGAATGGTGAAGGTAGGAAAAGCCTTCAATAGCTCATGGACTTTGTCATGGTACAAGATCATCATATGGTGCTTCGCCATGTTTTCTCCTGAGGCTTGATTTGTGATCAGTCGGGAATCTGAGTAGATGACCAACTTCTTGATTGATAGCTCCTTTGCCAAGCGCAAGCCAACGAGCAATGCCTCGTATTCTGCCTCGTTGTTTGAGGTCGGGAAGCCAAGCGTGATAGCTTGCTCCAACAGGATTCCATCCGAGGTGATGATGACGATGCCTGCTCTAACTCCTTGTTGGTTCGACGCTCCATCTTCATCAGGAACTGGCTTTGAGAGTAGGGGAGGTGAAGTGAGGTAAGTCTTTAGATTCTGGAAAGCTACTTCGCACTCCTCATCCCATTTATCTTTTTGTCCCTTCTTCAAAGCTTCGAAGAATGGTCTGCACTTGTCGGTAGATCTCGAGAGGAATCGGTTGAGGGCCGCTGCTCTGCCC